TTCCATTAAAATGCAAATGAATTTCATTTATTGTATAATTAGCTGATGAAATTGTGAAATAGGATGGAAAATGAAGGCCCACACACTTCAAACGCATTATTCATAAATTAATGATAAAATTACGTATTCATTATATAAATGTGACAGCGAAAAATACAAAAAAAAAAACAGCAACAAAAAAAAAAATGAAAAAAATCCCACATTTAATGCATATCAATTTCCTGTTATCAGGCAGATAAGAGAGAGCTATAGATACAGCTAGAGATATAGCTATAGCTACAGATACACACACACACACGAAAGGTGCGATGCAACTGTAGTCGACAGTTACATGGGGAAAATTGCCCCTGCAACCCTATCTCCAGTCGCTTTTACAAACTGCGCAATTTGTTTTTGGAAAACAGCGAATGTTGATTTCCAATTGATATGCAGTTTTCCTACTGCTGCTGCTGCCCCTGCTGCTGCTGCTGACCAATTACAGATACACAAAAGCACAGATACAGATTGTGAAAATTCGCCAGGCCTGTCGTCGTGCACATTAACAAGATTAAAAGTAAATGCAAGTTCATATCTCACATTTCATATTATTTATGCATTTTTATTAAAATTTTTACTCGGAAAAATATCATAAAATATTGTGCAGTCAAAATTTGCTGGTGGGAAAAATAATTCATATACATATATATATCTAGATATATATGTATATATATATATGTGAATATTCATAAATGCTAGCGCGTGCAACATTTTGCTGCAGTTGTCCAGGATAACAGCAGCACCAGCAGCAGCAACAGGAGCTTTGACAGGAGTCGCTGCTTTTGTAAGCGGATTTGGCAGCACCAAAGCGGATTCCACTTTGTAGCTCAGGAGGTGCACAATTTCCATGCAGCTTGCTTTCAAATTGAAAAATGTTCTCCAAGCTGTTTGCTTCTAATTTGAAAATGGGTTGCGTGGGCTCGCGGGGCGGCAGCACATAACAAAATAAAACTAGACAACTAAAATATACTCGGCAACAGCTTAAAAAGCAGCTTGCACTATTTTAAGCTCGAACACTATGAATTTTCCTTTTATTGGCTAAAAGCCAAAAGCGTAAAGTTTTAAAATGCAGCTTATTGGGCTTAGGGAGCTTAGCAGAGGCTCTATCTAGCTCTTAGTTTTCACTTTTCTAATAAGCTAATTGGCATTCTTATGTAAGATATATGATGAAATATTGAAAAAAATTAATTAAAGAAGCAGAACAACTTTTATGAATAATTTTTATGCACAAATCTGTCTGCTAACAAGAATAATGATAGAGCAAAGTTTTTTTTTTTTTTTTTGATTATATTTATAAAAGTGTAGAACCTGTACAATCAAATTTAGTACCTTAACAACTATAGAGCAAAGTATAATAAAAATAGAAGAAATCAGTTGAACATTTCTTCCTTATTCAAGTTTATGTTTCCACAACTCATTCAACTCCCACTGAGATACAAATCGATCAAAAGAAAAGCACACATAGTAAATTTGAAAAGCCTTTTGTTTGTGCTAAACATGAAATGCGATTTTATTACGAAATTCATAGCTTAATGAAAAGCTGAGCAAGAAAAATAGCAGAGCAGAGGTCAACTGCTGTGTTCTCATTTTAATTTGAAATCAAAGTAAAAGGCTTTATTAAAAAGGATTACCTCATGCAGTGAACAGCTGGAGCTGGAGATAGCCAGGCAAATAGTCGAGCAAGGGGCGGCACACAAATCATATCCAATTGCCACATTCAGCTGGCGGCCGCCAGAGCTTATCTAATTGCTTTTCATTTTCCGCACAACGGAAATCCCTTTTCATTTTCACGCTGAGCTCAAAATATGAATTGTATACATACACACACATATATGTATATATATGTATATATATATAGACAGATATATATAGGCATATTTGTATAGAAGTCAAAGTCAGATAAAAGCAATTTGTTTTGCTCGCAAAACGTTGACCGGAAAGAGCTCTAAATAATCCTCGTAGATACGCAGCTGTCTTTGTGTTTGCGCTTGGTCGAGTGCTCGCTCGATATGCACAATAATATGGCACCGAAGAGCTCTAAAGCGCCAGGTGGGCGCATCTACCTGGTGCCTGCCAGCACTTCAGGCTCAAGTGTGCAACCTTTGACCCGCAGCATTGTGATTAGCTCAGCAGTAAGCGAATATTGAAATGGCTTAAGCCCTAGCCACGTCCCGAATGATGAACTGCCTCCTCACTTGGCAGCCACTAAAGCGCAAAAGAATGTTATATAAATGGCTACACTGAGAGAAAACGGCAACATAGCTTTCAGATCTTTTAATAAGCTTGAGTCCAGATACATTTTTCACTTTTAACAAGAATTCTTTTACCTCAGATTTCCAAAAATATGTGAAGAGTTTATTTAAAATTCAGATTAGATTAGGAATTTCGAAATGCAATATTTTGTTGTGCTTGACTTGAGAATTTCTGCTAAATTTGAGCAAAAAATTCCAAATTTCTGCGGGAAGTGTACTTCGCCTGCCCCGGCCGCTTAGATGCCGAGCTCTTGACAGTTCTTGTTTCATGCTCGGACGCACCGCAACTGACAGCCACAAGCGGTCGTCCAGACAGAAGACAGGACGAAATCCTTTGCGGCTTTGGTCCAAGAAATGCGCAACCAAATCAAATGTTGAAAAACTCAAATCCGCAACTGATACGAAATATTCGCCAAACTCCACTACGTTAAGGCCACAACAAAATTCACAAGTCTCAAAGGTAGCAAAATATATTTCAAAGCGAAGCGAAAAACAAAAAAAAAAAAAAATGAGTGGAACAATTTTTGGACCAGAAAAGCCACAAAACTTGAAATTGTTTGTTGAAAGTTGCAGTCGTTAGTTGGCAGCAGAATTGGGGGGAGAGGGGCTGAGGCCAGCCACACCCACTTCATTGTTTCTGGCTACTTAAGCTGTTTACTCAAGCGTAAGACGTGCGCCATGTGGCCAGGTGATGCCTGCCACGAATTGCCACCTGCCAGCAGGCACCGTTGCGACGGCCCATCACTGGGCATCTGCTGCAAAGTTTGCTGCTGCTGGTGTATGGGGACTGTCAAATAAATTTGTATTGCGAGCGCGTCTTCAAAACGCTGATTAAAACTCTGCGCCCAACTTAATCAATTTCCGCTTCAATTTACAAAACGGCGGCAATTGAATACAAAATGTTGTGCCTGGCCATTTGCTTGATTACCCTGTAAAAGTGATTAAAGCAGTGATTGAGAATATATTTATGTATATAAATATATAAATATATAAATATAAATGAATAAATAAATCAGCAGCGAATTGAGAAATACATTGGAAATAACTGATTCAATTGAATAAATAAATATTCATGCTGGCCAACAGGACGTATACGTAATATATAATCATTTGCAGCCGTGATGCATCCATTTTGGTAAATGCCAATTTTAATTTATCATTTTAATATACTGAAAATTTCAAACTCATCAACTGAAGCGGGCTGTAGCTGTGCAAAAAATAATGCAATGTTCAGTATTGCTTAATGGGGCGTATACATATTTTTTCAAGCGTGCATTTATTTGAATTATGTTATATGAGGTAAGCCTATGATTTTTCATTCATGCATCGCACTTTCACAAGCCCAAAAATCAACGTAAGCGGCTGAAAAACATTGCATAATTATAGAAAAAATATATTATCTCGGGCATTGGGACGTATGCGTAATATAATTATATAATTTTTCATATGGGTATAAAAACTCTGAGCAGAGGCGATTCTTACAGGACAGTGACAAGTCGAGCAGTCTACTAAAATATTATCGTATTATTTTTGGTAATTTTCACGATGGTACAGCGAGTCCTGCCACAATGCAAAAACTAAAGTCCTTTTTACGGCTGCTGACGACAGCTGCAAATTGAATGAAATTAAGCCGAAAGTTAGAACCCGCCATTTATTAAGTGGCTTTGCGTTGCGTTTGCGTTTGCAGGACGACTGCCTGGCGACAGGATGTCAAAAGAAGGCGAAGCCGTCCGCCAACAAAAGCCATTTTAATTGAATGAATACTTATTCAGCAAGTCCTTCTCAATGGCACCTGGCAACAGGAGCAACAAAAACAAACAAACAAAAACCTCAACCAACTGGAAAGCTGATTACTTACACCCAGCTACAAATAATGAAAACGCGCAAATGACGAAAACTGATGGGAAAATCGGCTAGATAAAAAGTTGCAAGAAAAAACAGCGAAGAAACCTGAAGTCGGAGTTGAGCAACTGCGCCACGTCGAAAGCAGCTCAAGGATGAAAGCCTCAAAAGTGTTTCCAGCAAAGCAACAAAAGGCAGCGCAACACAAAAATTTAATGCGAAAAGAACGAGTTAAGATAAATGACATTTTGACAACAACAAAAGTTAATTCGGAAGTCAGTTCAACAGTTGCTCAACGTTGCTGTGGGCAAGTATTACCTGCAACTGTGCGAGGCAAGTTTTAAAGAACTACTTCGTAAGACCAAAAACTTTTAGCAGAGATGCTTAGGGCTGGAAGAATATATAAATAAATAAATATATTTCAGTAATTTTGTATTCGATTATGCGATTCGCATAGATTATCTTAAAGACTTTAGCTATATCCTGTCTTTAGGAAAACTTTCAACTACAGCACACTTAAGGTCAGACATACAAAGATCCGAGCTAAAAGAGCTAACAGCCACAAGAAGCCAACGACTGTGAGTGGGCTAAGATAAGAGCAAGTCTTCAAGAAACTTGCAATGCCTTTTTCGATCGTCTGAAGAACATTGTCTAGGTGAAAGGTCAAGCTAAATTAATTTGATTTTGAAGGGCAAGGGTCTTCATATCGAGCAAAAAAAAATGAATACTAATTTTATTACTTTACACAGTCCGTTGACATAAAGAAGAAAAATTTTTGGCATATCGAATAGGCTGCTTTTCGAATGCAGCACCCTCTTTATATATATTTGTATATATATATATATATATATATATATATATTTTAGACTGGCAGACACTAATACATTTATTTATTTTTAACAAATTAATATCGGTTCATTTAGAAATTATTACGAATTTCTACTACTTAATAATTGTTTTAGGATCAAAATTTGAAAACTTTTTGCGACAACTTCAACTTCTGACACTTCAAAAATAACAAAATGAGTAGAGAACTTGGGCGCTGTGCACACTGCTTAGATGTCCACGCCCACAGTTAGCTCCATTATGGCATTGACCACATCGCTCTTGTGCTTGATCAGTGCCTTGATTGCCGTTTGGCGCGTGCAGCCAGCCTGCATTTGCACCAGCTCAATGTCCTTCTCGTCCAGCGCACTGCCTAGTGCATCGATGTCCACTTCTTCGCCTTCGTGGGTCTCCAGCAGACCATCTCTGGCATCCTTGGACAGCTGTGGTGCACGCACATTCACATCGTTGATGTAGCGTTCGGCTGCCTGGGCGGCAGCAGCATTCGAGGCATTCTCGATGCGCACCTCGCCGAAGCAGATGAGAGTCTTGCTATTTGGGCATTTGAACACTTCCGGCTGATCGATGCACAGCAGAACATTCTTGGCCTTGCGCATTGTGACGCGCGAGACATTCGGCACCGGCTCCAGGTCAAGTTTCATGAGTAGGCGACGCGCCTTCTTCTCGCCACGCGAATATTTTGGCATCGAAAACATCTCGGCGGGCGCATCCGCTGAGAGTTTCTGTTGCCGCAGCTCCGTTCCGCCTGCTGCGCCGGCTGCTTCTGACGGCGAGTCGGGCGCATCATCACTGTCAGAGCTGTCCGAAGCCGATGAGCCGGAACCAGACGATGGCTGACTCTTGCATTTGCCACTTGGCGGCTTCTGCAGATTCTCGGCCAGGCTCATCAGATTCTGCATGTTGTTGTAGACGGAGCTTATGTGTGATTTCTGATCGGAGTTCTCATTGCTCTTGTCCTTCCTGCCGCTGCCACTGCCACTGCCACCGCCGCCGTTGTTGCTCTTGCTCTTGGTCGCATCGCCAGCTGGTGAGGCGGATTGAGCGACCTTGGCTGCTGCTGCTGCCGCCGCTGCGGCTGCCTTTTTCATCTTTTGTTTTTTGCCCATTTTCACGCTTTTTCCTAAACAGTTACGCCCCGAATATATTGACGAGCTGCAATTTAATGTAACATGAAGTTCAGTTTCACAAGCTCTAAAATTTTTTCGTATGCTTCATTAAAATTTCCTTTCTAGTTAAAAGGAAAACTTGCCTTCGAGCTGTCAACGCGAATCGAAACTATCGACTACAGCAGGGAAAGGCAGACTTTGTGTGTTAAGTTGGCTGCGCCAGCAGCAGTGTTCTAATTGCCAACTGTTCAGTGTTGGTAAACGCATTATAAGTTGATCAGATGTAAAATGATGTCATTTGAAAAGCTGCTCTCATTTGCAGCTTTAGTTGGTGTTGAGTTGGTATGAGATCATAATATGCTGTCTGGTGTTCAGGGTTGTAAAACAGATCTATTGAGCTGTCATGAATAGATCTATTTAATTTGTTTTAGGGATGCATATTGTAAGTTAGTTCTATTAAAAATAGTTTGAAATTAACTTAGCTTAATTTTATTTATTTTAATTAGATTTAAAAAACTCTAGATCAGCTTTATATACTTAGAACCTTCCTCCTTCCTTGCTTCCTCGACAACTTTTTAGCTTTTAGTTTAATAAATGTCAAAGGAATGAATAATTTTTTCTTATTAATTCAATTTTTACTCCCAATTACTTAAGTTTACGTTTTCTTTATTGAAACCTTTGGCAACAGTGTTAAGCAACGCACAAAACACCTGCGGCTAAAGTAATCATTCTTAGCCCCTCTTTTTTGAGCCCTAATTGAATTAAAAGTTTTTGCAGCTGCATTTGGCAAAGGACGACGTCAAATTTGTATTGCCAAAGCCAATAAAATTTGCGGCTATCGCAGCGAATTTGATTGAAATTGATGATTGAAATTCAATGAAGGCAACTATCGAGCCAAAAATATGCAAGTCGAGGCCAAGAGAAGCCAATGCGGTAAGCGGACGAAAGCTGGGAAAGTGGAAAGTGAAAATGCTGCTAGTGACAAACTAGTGGGTGGTTGAGTGGGTTGGGTTGGGCTGGGCTGGGTAGGGCTGGGCTGGGTGGTCTGCCTCGAGTCGAGTGCGAATTTTAAGCGCGTCGCTTCGGGGCGCAATATGCGCGGATAAAAGCCAAACGGATGTGACTAGAAAGGCAATGGGTTTTTGGCCAGCAGCAGGGGCAGCAGCAGCGGGCATGACAGCGTATCCAGAGGCTCCGGCAGCCCTGTGGGTGGACGCACAACAAAAGGCAAAACAGGCCAAGCTGCCTGTGCAGGCGCTTGACAAGCGCAACAAATGTATTTAAAAGTAATTTCCTTGCATTTTAATTGCAGCAATGCTTGCAACGAGGCGTGCGGCAGCCTGAGCAGAGCATGGTAGGGGCAAAAGAGTGCTCTACAAAACCAAAAAAAAGAAAAATTGTAAAAAAGGCAAACAAACAAACGCATCGTGACAGCTGCTGTGGCAGTTGCGGTTTTTTGTGTGGCATGCAACAATGCAAGAGATTGAAAGGCGACATCGAGCTCTATGCAACTGGCTAACAGCCGCATGCTGCTGTTAACTTAATTAAAAAATAGCCACTACCTATTAGCAGCTAAATTTATTAAAAGCGCGGTTTTCTTGCCATGTAAACTAGATCTACGGTTAGGCTAGTCGCAAGGCGAACTTTTTACTAATTACATTTTTTTGCTCAGCTACATGTGTTGCAAATGCAACATAAGCGCAGAGGATACTTTTGAAATGCTCAAGCTAAATTAATTAAACTTTTTTATATTCAATTTATGGTAAGGTTTTTGTACATAACTTGGTAAAACTTTTGTAAAAATTTTAGTAAAAATGTTTTATATTAAAAGTACACATTTTTAAAAATTCTTTCGAATCAAAATGCACTTAAAAATGTAAAATATATATGTTAAAAAATATGTAAAAATATCTGAGGGCAAAGCTTACATTTTCATACCTTCAATCAAATGTCTTTGGCATAAAAGAGTGCCTAAAATAGATAAGGTAATACGATTAAAAGTTTAAGATTAAGTTTAAGATTAATTATATCAATTATAATATATCAATTTAGTATTATTATTAAGAAGCTTTGAATGCTACTAAAAGTTTAAAGCTTCATTCACATATTCTTTATTTCAGTCAATTTTCAATACTCAAACTCAATCAACTCTTAAATAAATAAATAAAAATAAAGCAATAATGAGCTTTTATTCTTTTAATCATCTAAATCTCTTCTAATGTACACCTTAATTCCCAATACTCAAATTGATAATTTGGCATTTAAGCAACTTCTTCATCTTACATAACCTTTAAACAGCTTCACATTTTATGCAATAGCATCTACAATTTATGTCAAATCTCTTCTTTGTTAATAAATTCCGAGTCAATACTTTATCTTAAGCTAGACAAACACTTTGAATTTTGTAGAAAGCAATCAAATCGCATGATGAGTTCTAAGCCACGTCACATAAACTTTCAGCCATTTTTAATGGATCCGCATTGAGCAAATGCAACTTAGTGCTTATTTATGAGTCTTGAAAAGAACATTAAGAGCACTTAGCTTGTTTTTTTTATTATTTTGTCGTGTTTTCTTTACGTTTTTATATTTATTTATCTTTACTTTTCTTTATTATTCTGCATTTGCTGATGCGTTTACAGTGGGTCGACACTTTTAATTAAAGCGAATGGCAAGTGGCAAGGGGCAAGTGGCAAGTGGCAAGTGGCAAGTGGAGGGTGAGGGCGCACTTTATAAAGTGAAATGGCGAACGTTTTGCAATTATTAAGGTTTACTGCCAGGTGGGCTTCTAATTGAGTTGAATTGCCAATGGAAATAAACAGGAAGAGGAAATTGAAGATGACGTCAGCCGCTTAAATTGAATCCGAGTGGTTAGCTAATCAAATATTCCGTTAGCGGGCAGTAAATTCCATATAATATTTTCTCTATACATTAGTAGGTAATATTATAAAGAGCTTAAGTAAGTTTTGTTGTAAGTTTTCTGTGGCAGGCAACGGGTGAAATGGGCGAAAAAACTTTGAGTCTAGGCACGTTCGAGCGATGATTAATTATGCCGCCGCATATGTTGCAATGTCATGGGGGCATGCGGCACTGGGGCGCCGTGGGCGCGTTTAACTTATTGAAGCTTAGTTTTGTTCAGTTTTGCTAGCTAAGGCCGACGGCTCATTGGGCCTGGGTTATATGAAAAATGAACCCAAGACGCATCGCAACGCATCCGAAGCAAAGCAGCCAAATGTAGGAATCATGGTCATCGCTTGTGTCCTGGGGAATAGCTGTGTCGAGGCAATACACTCCTGCCCACTGCCATTAATCACGCAGCTTATGCGACATGATTGAAAACACATCATGTGATCTGTCAGTCAGTCATACGCAGTTCTATATAAAACTACGCCAAAAGGCGTCTGACTTGCTCCGCATTAATATAACTAGCAGTTGGGCTTTGCTCTGCTTTATTTATTCACAAGAATTTCAAGTTTGCCCTGTTGGCAAATAGCAAACAGAATGTGTAATTAGGACTCTCTCTTCATTTTATAATCAATATTTGGTATTCCAACCAATTTGACAGATGAACAAACAAATGAACTTTGTCTGCCATTTATTAACTTGACTTCAAATTGGATTTCCTATTGGTTTCTGGATGGCAAAATCTATTTTGAGACTTGCTCATTTTCAGTTTTGTTGCATAAAATTATTTATTTAAATTTATTCGATTTTTTTCTTAAACATTGTTATTTGCTTCAGTTTCACGTTTAGCATGAAGTGAACTTTATTTTTTCTTTCTAGTTTTTGATTAATTTTTGATTAATAAACTCAGTTTCTTTTTTAATTAAACTTCAGCCAAGTTTATAAACTACTTTGTGAAGTAATAAAGTTATATTGGTTTCGGTCAATGCTCGTCTTGCTATTCGTCCGCAAACCATTTCCCAGGTGTTGCAGCTAGAGACTTTAAATATTAAACATAAGCTCTACGTATCCTCGTTATCTAAAAAGCTAAGAAATTAAATAAAGTCATAAAGCTAGTCTTTTGACAGTTAACTGATTGCATTCTCCCTCTTGAGACTTACCAAAAATCTTTTAGCTGTCGAGTATTAAACAGTCGATACCACCCGACTGCAACATTCTTTCCAGCTTTTCTTTGGCTTCAAGTGACATTTTTCCGTCCAAGTTTTTCATTAATTTTAGATTAATAAATTCTCATTCTTTATTAATTAAACTTGAGCTATATTTTACTTTTTCTGGGTGCACAAAATTTCTTTTATCTTGCTTCATTGAATTCTTTGCCTTCGCCTGCTGCTCTTTGCTTTGTAAAGAGGATTCTTCTTTTTTAATTTTCGCTGCATTATAAACTGCTGTTAATTATGTCGCTTTAACTTAATAGAAGCTTATGTCTGTCAGCAAAAACTTTAATGGCGCAACCTTTATCCATTTTTTTTAAATAAGCTGTCAGAAGAGACGGCCCAACATTTAGGGAACTCACAAAGAATATAAAAAACAAGAACACAAACATTTATTTAGTGCACGTCGAGACATAAAAATCTGGCCTCTAATAGTTTTTCTTTTGGGAATTTGTCTGGGCCAGATTGACAGGTAATTGCATTTGATTCGCTTTTGTTTCTTTTTTGTGGCCTTTATCAAACCGTGCTCAATGCTTCACCGACATTTGCCTTAAGCCCGGGCAGGGTTTTGCGTGTAACCGGGTGATAGCTGCTGGCGTCAGACCATTGCCCAGTCCAGCGCTTAACAATAATACAAAATATGTCAGCTGAAGCAGAAAAAAGGGCCCCTGAGTGGGACTTGTGGGGTACAGGTAACGAGCAGCAGCAGAAGCCGATGCCGCCGCTGTCGCCCAGCTCCATTGAAGCAGCAAGAAAAATCAATTTCCTTTTGGGGAAGCTCGCAAAATGAAGCCTGACATTTATTACCATATAAACAGCAAGACTTATTTGTAAGAGCGCACAAAAGGAGCGCTGGGAGCAGTCCGGAAACTGCAGCGCAACAATGCTGAATAACTGCGCCGTGTGCCACGCCCCCACTCACATACATATTGCCGACTTCAAGGATGTGGGCGAATTGTGTATTGTGCATATTGAGCGAGAAATATCGTATATACTTGTTTGTATAATATATAAGCAGCGCCAGCCATGCCGGAAAGCCATAAGTTCTTTGCCCCACCTCACTTAAAATACGTGCAAATGCAATTTTTGGTCGCATAGTGGTGCCAAAGC